CACCAGCACCAGCACCAGCACCAGCACCAGCACCAGCACCAGCACCAGCACCAGCACCAGCACCAGCACCAGCACCAGCACCAGCACCAGCACCAGCACCAGCACCAGCACCAGCACCAGCACCAGCACCAGCACCAGCACCAGCACCAGCACCAGCACCAGCACCAGCACCAGCACCAGCACCAGCACCAGCACCAGCACCAGCACCAGCACCAGCACCAGCACCAGCACCAGCACCAGCACCAGCACCAGCACCAGCACCAGCACCAGCACCAGCACCAGCACCAGCAGCACCAGCACCAGCACCAGCACCAGCACCAGCACCAGCACCAGCACCAGCACCAGCACCAGCACCAGCACCAGCACCACCACACAACCACGCACACACGCACGCACGCACGCACGCGCACCACCACCCACTACGCACGCGCGCGCGGAGCCACAGGTCCGCTACGACACGCGTCCGCGGATAGAGAAAATCAGCGCCATGGTAAGGGATGGGAGGGAGGGGTAGGACGTCAGATATGACGCGAGCGCACCTAGCTTGCCTCCCCCCCCTCGGTCGCGCTCGGGATCGCCAGAAGAGGACGGGAGGTGGGTGTGAGGGTGTGAGGGCTTCGGCGGCGTCCAGACAACGACAGGACCATCCCAGGATACAGGGGAAGGCAGCGGCACCGTGCTGCCCCCCCCCGAGCCGTGGCCGCGGCCGCCGCCGCCCCGAGACGCGGCGTCCTGGAGGGGGCTGCTGGTGCGGGCACCACCTGTCCTCCGGCCTCGGGGGCGGCCTGCCGCGCCCAGGGGCTCCAGGGCCGCCTGCGGAGCCGGCGCGGCCTCAACAAGGAAAGCCGCTGCGCAGAAATCGGGCTGTGTCAGCAAGTTTCGCTCAGGGGCCGTGGGGCCGTCAAGAAACGACGCGGGATGAAAAGCTGGTCCAGGGGATGTGGTCTACACCTCCGACCCTCTTGCGTCGGGAAAAATAAAAGATGATACGAGAGGCTCCCCCCAAAGGCTTTCCAGCCTTTTTGTGAGCCTCTCTCGATATTTCTTGTAACCTCCCAAAAAAGGTTTCCAGCCTCGGGGGAAGATGTCAGCATTCTCGCCGTGTCAGCTTCCCGACGCTCCAAGACAGGCCAAGAGGCCTCCAAGACCGCTCCAAGATGGCTCAAGAGGCCTCCAAGAGAGCTCCAACGACCCAAGAGGGCCCCAAGCCGCCCAAGAAGCCTCCAAGACAGCCGAGGCGGCCCCAAAGACGGCTCCAAGAGGGAGCCCAGACGGGGGACCCGAACGGACATTTCGATCCCTCGGCCTGAGAAGCTCTCAGAAGCCCCCAGAGGCTCCTAAGAAACCCCCCAGGAGGCCCCAAGAGGCCCCCAAGAGACTCCCAGGAAGCCCCAAGATGCCCCCATGAGGCTCCCAAGCGGCTGCGAGAGCGCTCGACGTCGTCGTCGTCGTCGTCGTCGTCGTCGTCGTCGTCGTCGTCGTCGTCGTCATTCAGGGTCGGCGGCGCCGACCGTAATGCCTTCGCAATAACGAGAGAGGCTCCCCAAAAAGGCTTTCCAGCCTTCTTGGTGAGCCTCTCTCATTATTTTTCGTAACCTCCCCAAAAAGGTTTTGCAACCTCGGGGTGCTTCCCGGCAACTGCGCCTCGCCAGGAGCGTTCTGGGGGTGCCTGGACCATCCCGAGTAGCCGCCAGAGACCGAGTCATGGCCCGAAAGCCAGAATCCCTGGCATCAAGTAAAAACATTGAATTCTGCATACATCTCGTTGTTGCAAGGTTCCGGCAAATGTTCGACCCCCGTGGGCCCTCGCCAGGCTACAAGCCGTCAAGCACCACTCGGGATACAAAACGCGTTCCAAGGAAAGGGCCCAGAACCCAACCCCAGCGCTTTGTGAGGATATCGCGACAGAGGGTCTTGAGCAATTGTCCGAAGCTCCCGGGAATGCTTTCCAGGTTCGGGGTGCTTTCCAGCAGCGGCGCCTCGCCGAACACTTACTGAGGGTCCCCGAATCGCCCCGAACGGCCGCCAGAGGCCCAGGGTGTGGCCTGAAAGCCAAACCTCTCGCATTGCGAAAGAAACGCGACGGAGGGTTTCGGGCAATTTCGGCCCAGGACAATAGCGACACGAATCGCAATGAAAAGCGGGTCCCAGGGAAGGGGTCTAGATATGGCCAAACCTCTCTGGGGTCTTGGCCCCCTAACTTTTCTGGGCGGGCTGAGACTTAGCACTAGGACGTCTAGACTAGGAGGATGATGATGATGATGAGGAGGAGGAGGAGGAGGAGGAGGAAGAAGAAGAAGAGGAGGGGGAGAATTCCAGTCCTGGTTTTCAGCAGTCCAGAAAAGCCTATGGGTCTGGAGCTTCGTGGTCCTGCTCGTCGTCGTCGTCGCCACCACAAGCCTTGGCTCTCCCAATCCTGGTGACACGATGTGTCACACGTAAAGGCATCTTCCTCCTCCTCCTACTCCTCCTCCTCCTCCTCCTCCTCCTCCTCCTCCTCCTCCCCCTCCTCCTAAAGCATCCCCCCCAAGAGTCGCCACCTCCATCTAGGTCCCGCACGTTGTCGCTTCTCATTCTCCAGGACCCCACTTACAGGCTTGCCCTGGGACCTGTCATCACCTGGACGAACTTGGTTTGGACAGCAGCGGCCTGCCCTGGATTCGAACCCTCGCTGCCACGGCCGAGGGAGTTTGCCTCGAACATCCTGGCAAGGCCGCCGAGAGCTTGGAACCAGGTTGAAGGACCTCTCGGCGCTGCTGTGGTCTCTCTGATTAGAAATTCCTGGAAGTTTGTTTCCCCCTTTGTATTGGAGGATCACAAGGGTCAGGAAGTTGTCCTAACTAGCACGTCTCCCGCCAAAGTTCTTTGTGATCTCAGAGCTGCGTGGATGCACGCGTTGGCTGCGAAGGCCGCTAGCAAGTTCGGACACCTTGGAGAGACCCTGGACACGACTGTCTGCTGCCAACTATTACCCCCCTGGTAGTATCCTGTCGTATGCAGAGAAGTGCATGCTGAAGGCGTTTGTTACACAGCGCTTGTGGTCCAAGTGGCGCCTTGCTAGATGTGGTTATGATGTAGAAGATACGTCATGTCCTCTGTGTGGCTTTTTCTAGGGATGATCTTCATCATCGCCTGTTTGCCTGCTCTGCTACTCTCAGTGTCAGGGATGAGTATCTGAAGGACGATGAATTGGATTTCATCTCCCGTGAAGATATAAGAAGAACCCTCTCATGCTTGGTTTCCAGTTGGTTCCTGAGAGTATTCTGAGTCCGCCCGATGGCCTTGGGCATGAGAGTTATACCTTCTCCTGTGTGGACCCCAACCTGACCCCCTTGGATGCGTTCAGAGACAAGGCGTGCTTTCATGACGGGTCCTGTTCCTGTTTCAAGGAAGGTCACAAAGTTCATCACTGCGCTGGTTGGCCATGTGTTTGTCTCCAGGAGGATGGAGAACCTTTTGCTATCATATCGGGCAATGTAGGGGCCAAGCTGCCACAGACGAGTCCTGCTTCGGAGCATGTTGGGTTCCTGGCAAGTTGCAAGCATGCTAGCACGGCGTCAGAATTCTGCACGGACTACAAGGGGCTCGCGGCAGTGAACGAAAGGCCCTTGGAAGTGGTTGCTGACAGAAAGTCGTACTATGCAGGACCCGTTCTCCTTGCTCTGAGCCACCTGCCCAGGAAAGACGCCATTGCCATCGCAAAAGTGAAAGGCCATCAGAGTGCTGATTGTTCCGAGCCTTTCTTTGTAGATTGGTTTAGGGCCAGAGGAAACCACTGGGCTGATGTGGCTGCAAAGGCGGCTGCGATGACCCATTCCCGTCCGTCGGAGAACAAGGTTTTTGAGTTTAGTCTTGAAGCGTCCAGCCTCAGGAGTTTTCTGAGTTATGCGGCCAAAGCCCTGTTGCTTCGGTCAAGTCTTGCGCCTGCCAGAACCAGCAGCCGTCTGGGAAGGGCAGGCGCCTCTCGCGCTGGTGCAGCCAGTGCCGTCGCTGCTGGTGGCACCGCCGCCCGTGCCGCCACCGTCGGCGCCGCCTCGGAGGTGCTGGGCGTGGCTGGCTGGGGATAGCAAAATCCATCTCTCCCTCGGGGTGCCCCCCACCCTCCCCCTGCCCCTTCTCCCGCTGGGGCCTCTGCGGGTCCGTCCGCCGCCCCCGCCGTCGGTGGGGCGCAGGCGCCCCAGAGGAGGGATCGCGGCCATGAATTCAGGTGGATTCGCGGGCTGTGGGCGCGCGCGCGATGCCTTGTTCGTGTGCGTTCGGACCCTCCGCAGCCTGCTGCGGACTGCATTGTTTTTAACTATGTGTTGTGCGCCCTTGTGCAAGAGCCTCAGGGGCACAAAATACACCTGACGGGTACCCCTGATAGGGTCCCCCTTTTCTGCTGCTTGGGCTGTGGCAGTGTTTCTGAGGGGGTTAGGCCTGGTGGGTTGGCGAGGGCCTGCAAGGGCGGGCCCTCTTCAAACCACACGCGAAGCAAGCTCTCTCGGCTTAGAAGAGGCATACATCCCAAGACTAGGGATGTTATGCTTGACGAGCTTGCGCCTCTAGCTGACTTTACTTTTTTGTCCTGACAAAGACCAGCCGCGCGAGTACTGGCCAGAGGTTTGATATATATATATATATATATATATATATATATATATATATATATATATATATATATATATATATATATATTAAAAAAAAAAAAAAAAAAAAAAAAAAAAAAAAAAAAAAAACGTGCAATTGCGCCGTCCTCAGTAGTGGACCGAAAGGACCGAGAACAGGCTGAGGAAGGCCACCGTGATGAGAGCCACCTCGAACAACGAACAGGCGAAGACGTCGGTCACGCCATCGAAGCCCGTGCGCTCGTGCCCGCAAAAACGTGCCCCCCGATCACTGGGAGCTGCCCCCCCGAAGAGCTCCTGCCGCCAGCAGCACCGTTGACGCCTCATGGACCCCGACACCCACCACAAGGCCAGCATGCTCGCCAGAGAGCCGCTCGACCAGACGATCAGGGCGCACATCAGCAGATGCACCACCTGCGCCGTGGGCTCCAGCATCGTCCCCGTCGTAGACGTCCTTGCCGCGAATGCCCGCCACCTCCGTCCCATGCGCACTGGGGCGGACCTCCGTCGAAGACTCCAGTACCAACCGATCGTCCGACACACCGTGAGCCCCGAACGCCTGAGCCAGAAAACCAAAGTCCTCTGCAGGAGGATGCACCAGCGGAACAGGGAGTACAGCAGCAGGCGCTCCAGCAGCAATGCGGACACCCAGATCCCCAGCAGGAAGATCTCCAAACATACCGCCACGAAACCCTTCACTGCCAGGGTGGCCCGACTCCATGAAGCCGTCCTCGCCCTCGAAGCCGAACGCCGAGCTGAAGACGACTGCCCCGCACGAGCACCGAAGCCCGTGCCGCCGTGCCGGGACAGGGCCGAAGGGCAGCCCAGGCGAAGGACAGGGCCGCCTCCCAGCCCAGCCGCGGGCCGGCGGCCGCCCAGGCGATGCCGCTGGCGGACGCCGAAGCGAAGCCTCCAGGCGGCACCCGCGCGGCGTGCCAAGCGGCGTTGCGGCGCCGCCTGGAGCTTCCAGGGACGCGGCGCCCGCTGGCCGCGCACTGGAGGGCAGGCCTAGACGCGAGCTTGCGGTCGCGCCATGAGCCAGGCTCGCCACCTGCGCCAGCGCGGCGGCCGATGGCCGCCTCAACAGCAGCCTGCCGCCGCTTTCGAGCGGCACGGCGAGCCGCCGTCGGGCCCAGGGAGTCGATGTCAGCCTGCCGTTGCGATGAAGGCCGCCACGCTGTCGGGCCGCCCGCCGCCGCCATCCCCGAGAGCCAAAAGCCCCACTCCCCCAAGTCCCTCACGCCCGCCAAGTTGCCCCGTGAAACTGGGGTCTCGGGGTACGCCGGGGGACAAGGTCCAAAAGCAGGGGGCCAACGGAAAGGCATGAGCCAAAATGGCTACGGATCAGTGGTTCGACTTCGACTGGTGAGGTGGGGGGTTAGTCGCTGGCGCCCTCCCCCTTGGGTTTGGGCTGCTAGCGATTTCCTCTCCGTCTTGCTGGTCTTAGCCCTTGCGATGCGACGTGTCAAATCAAACCAAGAGTCGCCACCCAGAACACTGGGCTGACGAAGGGGAGCAGGATGTGCCTGCGGGTCTGGAGGTCTGTTAGAAAACGCTCTGGAACTTCAGGGACCTGCTCGTCGTCACCGTCGCCGTCGCCGTCGCCGTCACAGCCGCAGTCGTCGTCGTCGCCGCCGTCCACCCGCCGCCTCCGTAGCCGCTCCTCCCTCCTCCCTCCTCCTGCTCCTCTGGCCCTCAAATGCTCCTCTGCTCCTGCTCCTCTCCTCCTGACGCTCTGACATCGGCAATGAGACCGTTGTCGCGTCGCTTCCCTGCTTCCCGCCCCCTCCCCCCCCTTCGAGGCCGAGAACGGCCAAACAGCGTCCGCCGTGATGTTCTCACGCTGCGAACATGTGTGGTGGACCTTCCCGCCGCCGCCGCCGCCAGAGCCGCTGGCTGGCCGCGCGAGGGGCGCCCGGGGGCCGCCTCCGCGTTGGCGCTTCGCCACGGGCTCCGGCGACTCGCTGTCGCTGCCGGCGGCGGCGGCGCCCTGCTGCCGGGCGCGCTTCTTCGCCGCCGCCGCCTTCGACTTCGGCGGGGGCCTTCCGGAGGGGGGAGGGGCGCCTTCGACTCTTCGCGGCGCCCTTTGCCTCCTCCTCCTCCTCCGCCTCCTTCTCTCCCCCCCCCTGCCAGCTGCTGCTCAACCTGGTCCTCCTCCTCCTCCTCCTCCTCCTCCTCCTCCTCCTCCTCCTCCTCCTCCTCTTCATTCCTGATCCTCCTCCTCCTCCCCTCCTCCTGGCCCAGCGCGCGGAGGGGAGGTGGTCCAGGAGCGTAACCAAGATAGATGGGCCGCGAGCGCTGCGGGCCCCATGGGCAGGGGAGCGGGACCAGGACAAGGGGGGACGGCACGGGGACGGGCGAGCGGGAGGGAATCGCGAGAGATGATGAGGGGAGGGATTTGGAATCGGCGGGGAGAGGTGAGGAGGACGTGGCGCAGAGAGCGGGACGGGGATGGTGAGAGGGATGGGAAGGGACGCGCAGTGGTGGGTGGAGGCAGGACGGGGACGTAAACACAGGGCCTGTGTGAAGGGATCACAACCTCAGGGTGGGGGCATGTGGAACGATGCTGCGCGTCTCCCTCTGGACCTGCGACACCCGCTCCCGCCGCCGGCGGAAGCCGCAACGGGCCCTATTCCAGAAAATCTCATCCGCCCTCTGGGCGCAGGTGGTGTAACGATGTGTTTCTTTCCTTATCCCCCCCCCAAAAAAAACGTTCGTCCCCTTCGGGGAGGGATTCATCACTGCTCCGTATTAATCTAAATCTGCACCCCCTCCCCACCCGGCCCACGGCCAACCCGGAACCATGAGCGCACCTGGCGCGGCTGGAGCACGGGGGACACTGGGCGCACGTGGAGCACGTGCCGCACCTGCCGCGCCTGGCACGCTTGGGCCTCCAAGGTCTTGTGCATCTGGAACCCGTGGCGTTGGCGGCATCCTTAAGCGATCTGCGGACTTCGCCCAAGACGGCTCCAAGAGGGCCTCAGAAAGCCCAAGATAACTTCCAGGATCGCTCAAGATAGCCCTCAGACCCCTGAAAGCCACCCCGAGAAGCCAAAATCCTTCAATCACCTAAAGAATATTGCAGATGTCTGCCTTCTCGCCCTTTCGCTCCCGATGCGCTCTGGACGGCCTCACGATGGCCCTACGATGGCCCAGGAGAGCTCCAAGAGGGGCCCAAGGAGGCCCCGAAGACTGACCCAAGAGCGCCCAAGATCGCCCTAACAGGGCCCCAGGAGCACCCCGAGAGGCTGTTTCGATGGCCCCGTAGCGGGGAGGCAAATTTTAGGACCCCCCCCCCTCCCCTTTGATTGATGGTCCCCAAGTTGGCCCCAAGAGGCGCCCCATAGCTCTCAAAAAGGGCCCACGGGAGAGCCCCAAAAGAGCCCCAAGAGGGCCCAAGGCGCCCCAAAACAACCCAATGGGGACCCCAAAACCTCCCAAAGAGCCCCAAGAGGGCCCCACGATGCCCCCAAAAAGCTCTGGGCCCTGGGGTTGGCCCGAAAAGGCCCTCCAAAGCCAACCTTGTGTTCGCTGAAATCACTCTTGTTCACCGTGGTTGCCCGCGCTGTTTCACTAGATGTGTCACTTCTTCCCCGTTTCCCCGTCAGCTCTCATGGGCAGGGCTCCTGAATGGGCTGGCAGGGAAGATTGTTGGTATGCGGGCTCGCGAAGCAGGCCAAACGCCGTCCGAACACTAGTCGGACCGCGACTAGGCAGCAGGAGATGAGAGGCAAGCGAAGCGAGCGCGCGGGCAGCCACTCAGAAGAGGAGCCAAAAACAAAACTCCCAACCCGCTGGCGTGGAGATCCCGGTGGCGACCAGCTCGTAACCGCAGCCAAACTGGCGCGGCGGCGAGACCATAGACACGCAGAGGTCAACCACTCGGTGTGATTCGGCACAAGGCACCGTCGGCGACGAGCAGGACCGACAGGCACACCCCGACAACGTCCGTGCCGTAGGCGACACAACTGCATCGTGTCAGCGCAAGAGTGAAGAGGGGCAACCTCGTCACATATAGGACTGCAAACGGCAGTACCACTTGTTTGCGCAGCAGGGGCAAATGTCATAAGCGAAGTCCTCGCACGAGAAAACAGCCGACGGGCGCACCGAGCCACGCATGCCGAAGTCCAAGCGCCGTGGAGGTCGGCAGCGTGCGAGACTTTACTGAACCCTTTCGGTCACCAGTGGGGGCCGACACCAGCCATGAGCAGGCCAGGAGCAACCTGACCGCCCATTCCCAGTGTGATCCGCGCATGGAATTCGTAGCGAGACCCCACTGAACCCATCGGTCACCAGTGGAGGCCGACGCCGGCCAAGAGCAGGCCAAGGGCCACCTGACCGCTCATTCCCAGTGCGATCCTTGCGTTGAATTCAGGCTGTCAGAGCACCACCACACAACAGCATTGGCGGCAACCTCAGCCGCGCGGGATAAACCCGGCGAAACAAAGGAGAAGAGCGGACGTGCACGCCAGGCACGGCAAGCACCCCAGCGCGGCAGCTAACCGCTGCAGCACAAGGATGCAGGAGGGGAGGCAGGGACGCGCGAAAGAAAAACAGGCACACGGAAGCAGGAGGAGAGGAGGGGAAGTGCACGCCAGGCACGGAAGGCACCCCGTTGCGGCAGCTAACCGCTGCAGCACTAGGATGCAAAAAGGGAGGGGGGAAGCGCGCGCCAGGCACACGGTGTGAGAGGAAACAACTGATGCCGACAGGGGCAATCGCGGTGGTGTGCCAGTCCACGTGCCTGGTGCGTTGTCAAAACCGCATCTCAGTGGAACTGGGTGGTGCCCCACACTCGGTGTTACTGTCGAGCCATTTCTGGGTCCATGGGCTCTCGGTCGCTCGGCCCCCCCTCCTCCCAACCGTGCCCGGAACACTCCCACCCTACTGCGCGCGGCCAGTGTCGGCGCCCACAAGATCCCAAACATCTCGCGGGGGTGCTTGGCGCCCCCTATTCGCGCAGACGTGATGTCCCAGGTGTTGTCCACGCACCTGCGCGCAGCCGATACCAGGGCCCAGTGAGTCGTTCATGGCCCGAACATCGCAGCTGAGGCTATGAAGTGAGCTCAGGAAGGCGACGCAGGTTCGCCGGTCGTGCCGACGCGGGTCGAAAGCGCGCGGTGCCAGGGGCAGCGCGTTGCACGGCAAAGGCGTGCCAGACGGCTGTGAACGACGCACCCAAGGTGACCTGAAGGTACCTGGTCGTCCCGATTGGTGACACCCCGTAGGATTCCCACTGGGAGTCGTGGGCCCGGGTTCTACAGAGCGGCCTTCCAGTGTGGGAGCCCCGTGGTCCTGGATGCTGGCGTTCGGCGAACAGCCTGAGCGTCCACCCATTTCCTGTCCGACGCGTCAAGGATGCCCCCCTGGTTGGGTTGCCGGCCCGTCTCGGCAGTCGAGCGCGCGTTCCCACCCGAGCGGGGGGGGTCTGGTGCGCTCTGCAGGTGCGCAGGGGTTGCCTCGTGGCAGCTGGTAAAGGCGCCCGCCCGCATCGAGTCGCTGGCAGGGGAGGGGGGACGAATAGGGGCGAAAGGGTTCCTCGAAACCAGCTGTAGGATGGCTTCGTTGTCCCGCCCGTCAGAGGAAGGCTGCTCGATGGTCTCCTCGATGGTCTCCTCCCAAACGGTGGGCTCCTCCTCCTACTGCGACTCGCGACTATCTTCACACTCTTCCCGGTGGAGGCGAGTGACCGTCGCAGAGTCTGTTGGAATCCGACGCGGTTGGGTGTTTACAAGGGTCGTGTCGCCACTGGGTTGTGTTGGGCGGTCGGCAAGGTCCTCTCTGTCTTCTCCCTGCCCCGTCTCCTGCGGTCGCGACCCATTTCGCATTCTTCCTGGCGTAGGTGACTAACCGTCGCATAATCCCGTGGAATCCGAGGCGGCTGGGTGTTCCCAGGGCTCGTGCTGCCAGTGGGTTGTGTTGGACGGTCAGCCAGGATCTTCTCCCTGCCCCTCACCCAGCGACTCGCGATTATCTTCGCACTCTTCCGGCTGGAGGCGACTGACCGTCGCAGAAGCTGTTGGAATCCAAGGCGGCTGGGTGTTCCCAGGGGTCGTGTTGCCAATGGGCTGTGTTGGCGGTCGGCAAGGTCCTCTCTGTCTTCTCCCAGCCCCTTCTCCTGTGGCTCGCGACCCGTTTCGCCCCCTTCCCGGTGTAGTTGAATGACCATCGCAGAGTCTGTTGGAATCCGAGGCGGCTGGGTGTTCCCAGGGGTCGTGTTGCCAGCGGGTTGTGTTGAACGGTAGGCAAAGTCTTCTCTGTCTTCTCCCTGCCCCTCACCCTGCGACTCGCGACTGCCATCGCATTCTTCCCAGTGTCGGCGACTGACAGTCGCAGAATCCGTTGGATTCAAAGCGGTTGGGCGTGCCAAGCGGTCCCGTTTCCAGTGGGTTGTGTTGGGCGGTCGGCAAGGTCCTCCATGACTTCTTCCTGCTCCTCCACCTGCGATCCGCGACTATATTCGCGCTCTTCCCGGTGGAGGCGACCCAATTCGCAATCTTCCCGGCGCAGGCGACGAACCGTCGCATCTCGAGGAATCATGGGCAGGGATAGGAGAAAAGTCAGTCTCAGGGGAGACGCCCTGCGTGGGCGGGGGGCCAGCCCACCCGTCGATGCGCTGGGTCTGCGTCGTGGTCATGCCGCCGGGCAGCTTCGTTGGCAAACCAAGCTGGCCGCGTGGCTGGCGGTCGGGCTGGCCGTTGGGCTGGCCGCGGGGCTGGAAGTCAGGTTGGCCGCGGGGCTGGCCGTGGAGCTGGCAGTCGGGCCGGCCGCAGGGCTGGCCTCGGGACCGGCCAAGGGGCCGGCAATCAGGCTGGGCACGGGGCTGGCCACGGGGCTGGCCGACGGGCTGGCCGTCAGGCGGGCCGTGGGGCTGGCCGCGGGGCAGGCCGTGGGGCTGGCAGTCGGGCGGGCCAAGGGGCAGGCCGCCGGGCTGGCCGCGGTGGCCGCGCTCCGCCGCGGCGGCGCCGGCCACCGCGCTCTCCGCCGCCGCCGCCGCCGCCGAAGTGCCGGCAACGGCAGCGGCAGCGGCAGCAGCAGCGGCAGCCGCGACAACGGCCGTGGCGCCGGCCACGGCGCCGCCGGCCGCCGCCTCCGCCGCGTCGGGCTGGCCGCGGGGCTGGCCGTGGGGCAGGCCGTGGGGCTGGCAGTTGAGCTGGCCGTCAGGCTGGCCGCGGTGGCCCATCACGGCGGCCGCGGCGGCAGCCGCCGCGCCAGCCGCGGCGGCGGCGGCAGGCGACAGCGCCGCTGCGCGCGCCACCCGACGGCGGTCGCGCGGGGCAGCCAGCGGCCGGCCGCAGCGACGGCCTCGGCGGCTGCGGAAGCCGCGGCCGCAGCGGCGGCGCCAGCAGCGCTGGCGACGGCGGCGCCAGCCAGCAGGCCGCCGCCGGCGCCAGCGCCCGGGTGCCGCGCCAGGCCCAGCGGAGGAGGCACGGCCTGCAGCAGCCGGCGCGCGGCGGCGGCCGCGGCAGCCGCCGCGCAGGCGGGCAGGCCAGGAGGCGCCGCGGCGGCGCCGGCGGCACGGAAGGCCCGCGCGGCGCCAGCGGCGCCCGCGACGCCCGCGGCGGTCGCAGCGCGGGGAGCGCCAGCGGCGCAGGCGGCGCCAGCGGCGGCGGCGCCAGCCAGCAGGCCGCCAGCGGCTCCAGCGGCCGGGGACCGCGCCAGCCCCAGCGCAGGAGGCATGCAGGAACCAGGCGGCGCTGGCTGGCAGCACCAGCGGCGGCCGCGGCAGCCGTCGCGCAGGGAGGCAGGTCAGGAGGCACCGCGTCGGCGCCAGCGGCACTGGAGGCCCGCGCGGCGCCCGCGACGCCCGCGGCGGTCGCAGCGCGGGGAGCGCCGCCCAGGCGCCCGCCCGCTGCCGCTGGCGACGCGCCGCGGCGGGTTCCATCGGCGTCGGGCGAGCCCGCACCTGGCCGGGGGCGTGTTCGAGCCTTGACTCCGGAGGGAGGAACACCACGGAGCTGGTGGGGATTCGCGGATCGTAAACAATCCACTCGGTGTCGACAGTCCTGGTGCAGATGCTGTTCTCCCTCCTGCTATCCCTGACGCTCTTAGTGATGATGAGCTCGACGATACCCTTGCTGACGATCTCCTAGTGCGCCAGGGCCGTGGCGATGCTGGTAGCGGCACGGCCCCAGCTGGCGCGGAGCTCATGGAGGTGGTGCTCGAGGAGGCGGCGCGGCCTGCGGCGGCGGCGGCGGCGGAGCCAGCGGTAACTGGCGGCGCCGCTGCAGCTGCCTGATGCTGCGCCTGAGGTCTCTCGGGCCTGGAAGGCGGGCCAGTGCGTCCGCATCATGACGGGCAGGCATACTGGCCGTGCGGGCAGCGTCATCGGCCGAGGTACGACGCTCGTCCGCGTTCGGCTGGGTGGCCGTGGTGCGGTCGCCTTCGAGCCCCTCGACAACGTCGGGCACGAACGCGGCTTCCGGAGGGCTGGGGGGAGGGCGATAATGCCGTGCCCGAGCACGGCCGTCCTCCCTCTCAAAGTCGTCGGCGACGGCGTCCCCCTATCGCTCGGTCTCGTCGTCTTTGAGCTCTTCTGAAGGTTCCCACCTCCTGGCCGCCATGGCGGCGACGGGGGATCTCGCCGCATCGGCGTTACTCTCCCTCTTTTTCTCTCTCTCTCTCTCTCCATATCTCTCGTTCTCTTTCTCTTTTTCCCAACCATCTTGTGGTGTTGGGTCCTCGTTTTGAAGAAACGGTCCCCGCGATCTCTTCTCCTCTCCTCTCCTCTCCTCTCCTCTCCTCTCCTCTCCTCTCCTCTCCTCTCCTCTCCTCCTCCCTCCCCCCCCTCCGCGTCAGCCACACCCACTTCGGCACACCCCTCACACGCTTCGTGGCCCCATAAGGAGCTCCACCGAGGGCCCCAGTGGCATGGCAGCGCCGCGCCCATTTCGGCACACACCTCACACGCTTCGTGGCCCCATAGGGAGCTCCACCGAGGGCCCCAGTGGCTGCGTCCGCATGGCAGCACCGCACCCATTTCGGCACACCCCTCATACGCTTCGTGGCCCCATAGGGAGCTCCACCGAAGGCCCCAATGGCTGCGTTCGCATGGCGGCACCGCGCCCATTCCGGCACACCCCTCACACGCTTCGTGGCCCCATAGGGAGCTCCACCGAAGGCCCCAATGGCTGCGTTCGCGTGGCGGCACCGCACCGATTTCGGCACACCCCTCACACGCGTCGTGGCCCCATAGGGAGCTCCACCGAAGGCTCCAGTGGCTGCGTTCGCATAGCGGCACCGCGCCCTTTTCGGCACACCCCTCTCACGTTTCGTGGCCCCATAAGGAGCTCCACCGAAGGCCCCCGTGGCTGCGTTCGCATGGCGGCACCGCACCCATTTCGGCACACCTCTCACACGTTTCGTGGCCCCATTGGGAGCTCCACCGAGGGCCCCAAGTGGCTGCGTTCGCATGGCGGCACCGCACCCATTTCGGCACACCCCTCACACGTTTCGTGGCCCTATAGGGAGCTCCACCGAGGGCCCCACTGGCTGCGTTCGCATGGCGGCACCGCACTCATGTCGGCACACCCCTCACACGTTTCGTGGCCCCATAAGGAGCTCCACCGAGGGCCCCAATGGCTGCGTTCGCATGGCGGCACCGCGCCCATTTCGGCACACCCCTCACACGTTTCGTGGCCCCATAAGGAGCTCCACCGAGGGCCCCTGTGGCTGCGTTCGCGTGGCGGCACCGCACCCATTTCGGCACACCCATCACACGTCTCGTGTCCCCTGAAGGAGCTCCACCGAAGGCCCCAGTGGCTGCGTTCGCATGGCGGCACCGCACCCATTTCGGCACACCCCTCACACGTTCCGTTGCCCTATAGGGAGCTCCACCGAAGGCCCCACTGGCTGCGTTCGCATGGCGGCACCGCACTCATGTCGGCACACCCCTCACACGTTTCGTGGCCCCATAGGGAGCTCCACCGAGAGCGCCAATGGCTGCGTTCGCTTGGCGGCACCGCACCCATTTCGGCACACCCCTCACACGTTTCGTGGCCCTATAGAGAGCTCCACCGAGGGCTCCAGTGGCTGCGTTTGCATGGCGGCACCGCGCCCATTTCGGCACACCCCTCACACGTTTCGTGGCCCCATAGGGAGCTCCACCGAGGGCCCAAGTTGCTGCGTTCGCATGGCAGCACCGCACCCATTTCGGCATACCCTTCACACGTTTCGTGGCCCCATAGGGAACTCCGCCGAGGGCACGTGGCTGCGTTCGCATGGCGGCACCGCGCCCATTTCGGCACACCCCTCACACGTTCCGTGGCCCCATAGGGAGCTCCACCGAGGGCCCCCGTGGCTGCGTACGCATGGCGGCACCGCACCCATTTCGGCACACCCCTCACACGTTTCGTGGCCACATAGGGAGCTCTACCGAAGGCTCCACTGGCTGCGTTCGCACGGCGGCATCGCACCCATTTCGGCACACCCCTCACACGTTTCGTGTCCCCTGAGGGAGCTCCACCGGGTGCCCACGTGGCTGCGTTCGCATGGCGGCACCGCGCCCATTTCGGCACACCCCTCACACGCTCCGTGGCCCCATAGGGAGCCCCACCGAGGGTTCCAATGGCTGCGTTTGCATGGCGGCACCCCGCCTATTTCGGCACACCCCTCACACGTTCCGTTGCCCCATAGGGAGCTCCACCGAGGGCTCCAGTGGCTGCGTTCGCATGGCGGCACCGCGCCCATTCCGGGACACTCCTCACACGTTTCGTGGCCCCATAAGAAGCTCCACCAAGGGCCCCAGTGGCTGCGTCCGCATGGCGGCACCGCACCCAGTTCGGCACACCCCTCACACGCTTCGTGGCCCCTGAGGGAGCTCCACCGAAGGCCCCAGTGGTTGCGTTCGCATGGCGGCACCGCACCCATTTCGGCACACCCCTTACACGTTTCGTGGCCCCATAGGGAGCTCCACCGAGGGCCCCAGTGGCTGCGTTCGCATGGCGGTACCGCACCCGTTTCGGCACACCTCTCACACGTTTCGTGGCCCTTTAGGGAGTTCCCTCTCATTCGCTCAACCTGGTTTGCGGTACTCGTAACTGCATATGGTTGGGTCCATTGCCAGGATATATATATATATATATCCCTCTCTCTTGTCCTCTTCTTCCCCCTTGTCCCCCTTGTCCACCTGCATCACCTTTGCTCCCTCTGCGCCCTCGCTCGCTCCTGCTACTCCTCATCATGCTTCCACACCGCCTGATCGCCCTCCTGCCTCGCATTCCCTCTTTCTCATTCACTGAACCACCCTAGGATACACCCGCTGCCTTGGCATCGCTCGCTCCCTCGCTCACCTCTTCTTCCTCCTCCCCACTCCCTCCTCCTTATCCTCATCCTCCTCCTTCTTACTGACCCCCTCTCTCCTCCGTCTTCCCTGCGGCTGCCCCTATGCGACTATGTGGCTATAAAAAGGGGGTGCCATACAAGCACAACAACTCCCTGAAAAAAGAACTAGTCCGCCCTCCTGGCCCGCAGTTCACGGCCTCACAGGGAGAGGGGGACAGACTGGGTGAGCCAAGCTCCAGAGTCGGGCCTGCTCCCTCCTTGTCCCTCCTCCTCCTCACCCTCTTTCTCAACCTCCTCCTCCTCCTCCTCCTCCTCCTCCTCATCATCATCATCATCATCATCATCATCATCATCAGCATCATCATCATCAACAACATCACCCTCCTTACCCTCATGATTTGCCTCCGCCGTCCGTCTCCTCCACCTTCATCTTGGCACCTTTTCCTCCTCTTCACTACCATACTTGAAGAGTAGGGGGAGGGAGGCCTCCACTTGCAGATATGACAGCGCACGCAGTTGGCGCCCTCCTTGCGAATGACAATGTTTCAACGGTGTGCAACCAATGGCAACAACTGGGGGGACGAGGCTCCAGAGCAGATTCAAAAAGCCGAGGCAACCAACGCTCACGCTCGGTCTCATGACGAGGCGGTTGGAACTGCACAAGCGCACCGCATCTCCCTGCCACTACTGCCGTGCGATATGGACGCGACAGACGCCTGAACAAGATTCCCTCATGAATCAACGGGGGGATAAGGAGAAAGCATAACACCATTGTGGAAGTGGGAAAAAGGACGCCTTACATGACGTAGCCATTAAAATACGAAAGGCTGTGCGCAAACAAACAACCACCATAATGGACATCAATGGCGGAACATAGAGTTCAATCAGAACAGAGACGGACTGCCCGTTGGCGCCGAAGACGATCTACACGTCTGTCGCCCTCCCAGTTGGCTTGCCCCAACCGAAACAGCAATCAGGTGGAGCCTGTCGCCCATCAGCTTCCGTTCAGAATCTCTCCTCTCTTTCGGTCCCTCCACTCCGCTCTACTTGGGCGCCCGAATTATCCGGGGTAACTCGGGTCCGGGGTAAGTCGGGTTTGGATTCCCGAAAAAGGAACCCGAATTAGCCCTGACCCGAGTTACCCCTGATGATTCGGGGCTCTGGACGCCCGGGTTATCCGGGGTAACTCGGGTCCGGGGTAACTCGGGTTTGGATTCCCGAAAAAACGAACCCGAGTTATCCCTGACCCGAGTTACCCCTGATGATTCGGGGCTCCGCTCTGCTTCGATGTTTCGTTGCTGACACGTTTCGCACGCGCGCGACGCTCGATTCCATGAGCCTGTGGCTACCAGCTACATGCGTCAAGGAAGGCGAGCCTGACAGCAGGGCACGCTACACTTGAGATCACGGGCCTTCGACCGCCACGAAGAGAAGAGGACAATCAAGAGGATGAGAAATGAAAGATGGAGCGGGTGAGTGAGGGACGAATCGAAGGAAGAATAATAATCTCACGAACAAGAAAAAAACACGATATTTTCAAGATCTGAACAATTTGGCGTGCCATGTCCGGCATGGCCGCGGCACCGGCACTTTCGGATGGCGGTAGCCGGAAGCTCAAGCCTCAGGGCAGCTGCCCTGAGGCTCCCGACAGGAAGCAGGCGAATATGGATGACGACAATTGAGGGGAAATATGGCAAGAAGAAGGAACACGAAATTCGCTTGCCCAACGGGCCAAGGGCGTGCTAAGATCTCCGGCAACTGGTTAACAATATTCTAGTTAGCGCGCGCGGGGCCGCCCCTGGGGGTCCCAGGACGAAAAGTACCCCGGGACACCCCCAGGACACCCCCGGGACACTCGGATCAGAGATGCCAGACCGGGCAATTTTTCGACACCCATCACGAGGATCGTGGCCTCCGAGGGGAGGGGCGCAATCGACTACCCCCCCTCCTGACCCAAGAGGTCCCCAAGACTGCCCAAGAGGCCCCCGAGACGCTCGAAGAGCGCTCCAAGACGCCGTTGATGACCCCAAGACGGCCCAAGAGGCCTCCAAGTGGCCTCCAAGAGGCCTCACAAGAGGGACCGAGAAGTCAAAATCATAAATTTTACAATGGTTTTGGAAGGAGTTTGGCCTTGTCGCCTTTTCGGCCATCTGATGCTCCAAGACGGCCCAAGAGACCCACAAGAGCGCCCCAAGACGGGCCAAGAGGCTTCCAAGAGGGCCCCAAGAGGGCCCCGAGACGGCCCAAGAGGCGCCCAAGACGGCCCCAAGAGGGACCCAAAAGGGGGACCACGAACCGAAAACTCGAGCCTTCCGCCCCAAGAGGGCCCCAGGAGGCCCCGAGAAGCCCACAAGAGGCACCCCAGGAAGCCCCAAGATACCGCCAAGAGGCCTCCAAGAGTCCCCAGGAGGCCCCCAGGAGGCCCAAAAGAGGCCCCAGAAGTTCAAAAATGCCTCCCAGGCGCCCCCGAATGGCTTCTCAAAAGACCCCAAGAGGCCTCCCAAAGAAGCATCTTGACGACGACCCTGTTTGGCCCCAAGAACAACACAAGATGCCAACGAGAGTCTTCCAGCCCCGCCCCTGCCCGTTCCTCCTCCTCCTCCTCCTCCTCCTCCTCCTCCTCCTCCTCCTCCTCATCCTCTTCTCCTCCTCCCCTCCCCTTCCCCGTCCTCATTTTCCTCCTCCTCTTTGGTGGCGCCACAATGGCCCCGGGCCCACGGCGAAGCAGTTGCGATCATGCAACCTGGGCCGGCGGAATGAGCGAAGCGAGTGAATACATGATGAAGGCATGGAGGGAGGAGACGAGGACATGAGCGAGAAGGAGATGATCAGGAAGATGATGAGCATGATGGAAGAAATTAAGAACGACATGAACAGCACGAGGGCGGACGTGGAAGAGGTGAAGATCATGGCACAGAAGACGAGGGAGGAGGTGGAGAACGCCAATCATATCGCACAGAAGGCAAAGGTCGCTGCGAACCTGGCGCGGGCGACGGTGGAAAACGTCAAGAAGCAGGTGCAAGTCATGAAGGCAGACCTGCCCAAGCTGGCCAATGACATTATCAAGGAGGAGCCGGCGAGGAGGAGAGCAGGGGCCTCGACGACGGCAGCGGGCCTCCAGGCCAAGGGTAAGGGGAAGGGCAAATTCGTGGCCGACGGCGCGGTGGACGAGAAGTGGTCCGGCACGATTGGCTTCGGGAAGCTCCCCGAGGACAGCAAGGACAAGGAGATACTCGAGTACATGGAGGGGGTGCTGGCCGAGGCTCGTGAGGACATGGAGGATATCTACACGTATGGCAAGACGTTCGCGGAGCGGGGCGGTACGCAGTTCAAGACTTCGGACGCCATGTGGAGCTACATGGGCAAGCGCGCGGGCAAGCACGGACACGAGTACAGGGGTAAGAATGTGTACTGCAAGAATGACGCCAGGACGAAGGACAGCTTTTCAGAGGAGGAGATGAGGAGTCGCGCTGTCAGGAAGATGATGCGCACGATCATCTAGAAGAACGGGGGGGATGGCGCAGCAGTGAAGCCCTACCTCGACAACAACTACACCAAGGGCATCGTATGGTACAAAGACTTACGGGTAGCCGCAGGGGAAGACGGGAAGATGGAGATGGTTGGGGAGGGCGTGGGGTGGAAGGACCACTCCGAACAACTATTTACGATGGGATAGGAGACGGGGTCGGCCGAGGTGTCGTCAGGGGGCGGCAGGGGTATGTATGTTCGCGGGCTCAGGGCCCACGGGCCCTCCCCCCCCAGATGGGATGGGTCCCAGTGTCCTCGGGCCCCCCCCCCCCAGATGGGTTGGGGGGAGGAAGGAGGAGTAGGAGGAGGAGCAGGAGGAGGAGAAGGAGGAGCAGGAGGAGGAGGAGGAGGAGGAGGAGAAGGAGGAGGACGACGGCGATGACGACGACGACGACGACGACGACGACGACGACGACGCCAACGACAACGACGACAACGACGACGACGACAACGACGACGACGTCGACGACACCACCAGCGGCGGCGGCGACGACGTCGAGCACCGGAGCTGCCACCACGACGCCAATCCCAGCCACACGCACCCACAGGGGGGGAGGGAGGGGGGAAGGAGGACCATGGCGTCACCCCGCACACACCCACAGCAACACACTACACCCACACCACATCCACAGGGGGGGGAGCCACCACGCCACGCCCACGCCCACGGGGGGGGGGGGGGCATCGCGCGGGGGGGGGGGGGCGATGGCATTGGCATGGGGGAGGGGGGCCCAAACCCTCGATCATATATGCATCAATTTGCGGTGATGTGCCGATGTCGTTTTCTGGACTCGCTGGGATTGAGAAGCCGGAGCTTCGAAGCCAGGCTGATAACTCAGAGGGCGCTGGGACCAATTCGACATGTACTGGGTGAGATAAAGAATATTGGAACGTAATTGCTTAGAATGCGCGCGGGATGGAAAACGGGTGTATGTTTGATTTTACAAATATTATTGATGAACGTGCTGATTGGGACGTGTTCTTGTTTCAAAAGGGCCCCATGGCAAAAAGTGCAGCGGAACGCAGATTAGAGAACTGGCCCATGTTTTTCCCAACCATCTTGTAGTGTTGGGTCCTCGTTTTGAACAGACAGCGCCCGAATCCTTCCTCCCGCTGCCCCACTCCCTCTGCCCATCATCAACATCCCCATCATCAGCATCACCGTGAACCATCATCATCATCGTCATCAGCATCACCATCATCATCAGTTCGGCACACCCCTCACACGGTTCGTGGCCCCACAGGGAGCTCCACCGAAGGCCACAGCGGTTGCGTTGACATGCGCCCGCCGCACCCATTTCGGCACACCCCTCACAAGTTCCGTGGCCCCACAAGGAGCTCCACCGAAGGCCACAGCGGTGGCGTTGACATGCGCCCACCGCACCCATTTCGGCACACCCCTCACACGTTTCGTGGCCCCAAAAAGTAGCTCCACCTGCGTCCGCATGCGCCCACCGCACCCATGTCGGCACAACCCTCACACGTTTCGTGGCCCCACAAGGAGCTTCACCAAAGGCCCCAGTGGCTGCGTTCACATGCGCCCACCGCACCCACTTCGGCACACCACTCACACGTTTCGTGGCCCCACAGGGAGCTCCACCGAAGGCCACAATAGCTGCGCTCGCATGCGCCCACCGCGCCCATGTCGGCACACAGTTCACACGTTTCGTGGCCCAACAGGGAGCTCCACTGAAGGCCCCAGCGGCTGCGTTCACATGCGCCCACCGAGCCCATTTCGGCACATCCCTCACACGTTTCGTGGCCCCACAAGGAGCCCCACCGAAGGCCCTGTGGCTGCGTTCGCATGCGCCCACCGCGCCCATGTCGGCACACCCCTCACACGTTTCGTGGTCCCATAGGGAGCTCCCTCCACCGAAGGCCCCAGTGGCTGCGTTCACATGCGCCCACCGCACCCATGTCGGCAGACCCCTCACACGCTTCGTGGCCCCATACGGAGCTCCACCGAAGGCCCCAATGGCTGCGCTTACATGCGCCCACCGCA